AGTACCATGTTAGAGCGGTTCGGTTGTGTCGCGCGCAGTTGGGTTCAGTTGTGCGTTCCATTTACACTCAACAGTTATCTCGTTTACCGTGTTCGGACTGATCCAGATCTCGGCACGGTTTCAATAGGGTAGTGAAAACAGGGCTATAGATCAGATAGAAGTTGACACAAACTTAGACCCATTTCTGCACCAACTAGCATCAATGATTGGACTCAATTGAAAAACCTACAGTTTCCAGCCAGAAGCGGTCCAGGTCTGATCTCCTCTGCTGCTTGGAGAGCGTGATCAGCCAGCGTCCGCCTCGCTTGTTCCTCTCGTCCTCCCACATGGGCTCAATGCCGTCCTGCAGGGAAACGGGTCGGATCGTCAGCAGCAGTACAGACATTTACAGCAGCCATAAAAAAAGGGAGAAGAAGAAACGAGCTTCCAGATGTTTCTCATTAAACCTAAAGAAACACGAATAAAACACAGGATCTGGGGTTAATACAGAAATATGACTGATAGAAAAATGAAACCTCAGACGCCTGAACCAAGCAGGTCTGTTAGAACCCAGCTCCTGTTGGATCGGAACCGGCTTCAGGGTCCAATGTTTTGTTTTATTGTTCTGGGCTCAGCGTCAGTTTAGGAGGAGAAAAGTAATAAAGCTGCATAAATCTGCACCCATTGGTACTTTTTATTTAACTCAAGTTTTTTTTCTTTTTTCACACAGTTTTAAGATAGTGGGAGTTTTTTTTTATTGTGGATCCCTGTTATCCACAGCTTAATGCTGATATTTGAATATTTCATACAAAATAGCAAAAGAAAATGGAGCTCTTGTTTAACCTTTGGCTTTTACCAAACAAACAAACAATCAGAGTCTAATGCATTATATGGGAGACTCTAGTTTACTAGGAGACTAGCTGATACGCTATATTAACATGATCCTGCCTGTGAGACACAGCTGAGGGACGCAGGGACAGACTAGTCAGAGGATGTGAATTACATGCAGAATCTATTGGTGGGGCGTCAAGCAGCGGTGGGACGTCCGAGCATAGGGATGTCCTGCTGTGCATCAGGGCTTCCAAGTGTCTGGATGTAAGATGTCTGAGCATCGGAATTCTGAGCAGTGGGACATCCGAGCGCCGGGATGTCCAGCTGGGCATCAGAGCGTCGGGATGGCCGGATGTCAGGATGTCCGAGAGTCAGAAAAGCCGAGTGTCAGGATGACCAAGGTTTGGCACGGCGAGTGTT